CCAGGACATCCGCCAATTGTTGTCCGCCACGTGGCACCCGCATCCCCACGTTCCGGCCGTCCTGGCCCAGGACTCTTCCACTTGCTCCTCCACCTTTGTTTGGCCAATAAAATTCCAGCTGAGGAGTCAGCATTAGGTCAACATTCTTGCCGTTAGCGACTCGTCAACATTTACAGATAATTCGACTCGTTTCGACTCGCTCATCTCGATTTCTGCCAGCTTTCAATATATTTTTATTAAAATGACAGCATCTGGTTATGGCTCCGGCAGAGGGCAGCCAATTCATAAAAATACATTCCATTTATGATGATTCGTCCTGTCAGCGAAAAAAGTATCCCCAACGGACATTCCCAATAGATTCTACTACGTAAGTATTCTTTTCATTTTCTCGCTATTTGTTTTATATTGTTTCTCATTCTATTGTCGATTTTATGGGATTCATCCAATATATTGTTTATGGGAGGAATGAGGAAAAAATGTTACTTTATGAAAACATTTGAGAACTTTCTTGTAATTTCTTGTTCTTTCCCAAGAATCGGTTGGGAAAAAAATTTGAAGGAAAAAATATTAAAGGTTTCAAAAACAGAAAAACAAAAAGACATGTTTTATTCCATTTCCAACTGTTTTACATTTTAACAAAAAAAGCTAACTTCAGGCAAGGCCGAAGTTGAAATACCCTTGCGGTATATGCCCTATAGGGTCCATAGTGATCGCTATATCTTCCCCAATCCTAATTCGATTCTCAAGCGGAGTACCTTAAACGATTTCTGTATCGATTATCCACCATTCTGCATCAAAATCCTGAGACAAAATATTTTTTAGATTCTTTGTCCATTTTTCGTGATGGGATCCCTGAAAATGGGGTTTTCCCCTATAGGGTCCTTAGTGATGGCAATATCTCTCCCAGTTCTCATCCGATTCTCAAGCGGAGTATCTTAAACGATTTCTGGATCGATTCTCCATCATTCTGCATAAAAATCCTGACACAAAATATTTTTTAGATTTTTTGTCCATTTTTCGTGATGGGATCCCTGAAAATGAGGTTTTTCCCTATAGGGTCCTCAGTGATGGCTATATCTTCCCCAATTCTCATCCGATTCTCAAGCGGAGTACCTTAAACGATTTCTGTATCGATTATCCACCATTCTGCATCAAAATCCTGAGACAAAATATTTTTTAGATTTTGTGTCCATTTTTCGTGATGGGATGCCTGAAAATGGGGTTTTTCCCTATAGGGTCCTTAGTGATGGCAATATCTCTCCCAGTTCTCATCCGATTCTCAAGCGGAGTATCTTAAACGATTTCTGGATCGATTCTCCATCATTCTGCATCAAAATCCTGACACAAAATATTTTTTAGATTTTTTGTCCATTTTTCGTGATGGGATCCCTGAAAATGAGGTTTTTCCCTATAGGGTCCACAGTGATGGCTATATCTTCCTCAATTCTCATCCGATTCTCAAGCGGAGTACCTTAAACGATTTCTGGGTCGATTCTCCACCATTCTGCATCAAAATCCCGAGACAAAATATTTTTTAGATTTTTTGTCCATTTTTCGTGATGGGATCCCTGAAAATGGTGTTTTTCCCTATAGGGTCCTCAGTGATGGCTATATCTTCCCCAATTCTCATCCGATTCTCAAGCGGAGTACCTTAAACGATTTCTGGATCGATTCTCCATCAAAATCCTGAGACAAAATATTTTTTAGATTTTCTGTCCATTTTTCGTGATGGGATCCCTGAAAATGGGGGTTTCCCCTATAGGGTCCACAGTGATGGCTATATCTTCCCCAATTCTCATCCGATTCTCAAGCGGAGTACCTTAAACGATTTCTGTATCGATTATCCACCATTCTGCATCAAAATCCTGAGACAAAATATTTTTTAGATGTTTTGTCCATTTTTCGTGATGGGATCCCTGAAAATGGGGTTTTCCCCTAAAGGGTCCTCAGTGATGGCTATATCTTCCCTAATTCTCATCCGATTCTCAAGCGGAGTACCTTAAACGATTTCTGTATCGATTCTTCACCATTCTGCATCAAAATCCTGAGACAAAATATTTTTTAGATTTTTTGTCCATTTATTGTGATGGGATCCCTGAAAATGGGGTTTCCCCTTTAGGGTCCACAGTGATGGCTATATCTTCCTCAATTCTTATCCGATTCTCAAGCGGAGTACCTTAAACGATTTCTGGGTCGATTCTCCACCATTCTGCATCAAAATCCTCGAATCTGGCATCCCTCGAAAATGGAGTTTTTCCCGATAGGATCCTTATGAAAATTAGTATTGGTTTTTTGACATAAATAGAATTCTTCTCTAGCTGCAGCAACTCTCTAGCTGTAAAAATACCGAAGTTATGTCAGTTATCAGTTATATGGTAGCTATAGGATATAGTCGGCCGATCCCGGCCGTACCGACTTATATACTAAGTGCAAAGAAAAGAAGGGTGTATTCAAAGTTTTCAATCGATAGCATTTAAACTGAGAGACTACAGACAGTCAGACGGACAGACGGACATGCTTATATCAACTAAGGGGTCGGTGATGTCTCTTTTACTGCGCTGCACACTTTTGACTCAAATGATAATACCTTCTGCACGGGTATAAAAATAAAGATACTTCTGTCTAATATTTTTGTCTCTCAGTTGTGGGACAGTCATCTTTCTTCCATTTTAATTATCAGTGCCAGCTTCTCAACCAGAAAAGTGTAATTTAAGTTTCGCCAAACGAAATTTTCTATAGTTTCAATATTTAGACAGACTTTCCACTAATTGCCCAGCTTTTCTTGGCTTCTTTTCAGCTAAAGGCTACCACTCTCCCTACTTTTTCAGCCAAATTGGTTGCCTAGTTTCGTTCCAGAATCTAGATGGAGACAAAAATCGGCTTTGCTCGTCGCTGAATTGTTGTTTAAACTGCCAGCAACTTGCTGCAAATTGGCAATTATTTAATTTCGAAAACTTTTCTTTAGAACTGCGAGCTCAGCTTAACTTTCAAGGGAGACAGCACCCGCTCTCCGCTTCGATCCAATCGGCTTATATAAATTGAGGGCTGGAGGCCAAAATTATAACGCTTTGGCAAACTAATTAAGGCCGTCGACTCGATTCGATGCGAACAATTGGCGGGCATTTATCGTAATTAGAGAAAGGTCTGCGGGACTCACCAATTTCCTTGGAGTTCAAAGGCCTTTTATTCGGTCCACCTTCTCGCACCCGTGGGCAATCAAATTTGTAAACCATTTTCGGGGTCGGAGGAAAACATATAACTTTGAATTAAAAATCTGCCGATAAAGTTGGACCTTTCATTTGCAGGCCATGGCAACCCTTTGGGCCATTGAGGTTTTTACCCAAAAAAAAAAAAAAAGATTCGTTTTACCTTCTAATTGCAATAAATGGACAGTCTGCCTAATTTCGTGGAAAGTCTTGCGGCAAATTTTAATTAATTACAAATTGAGGTGAACCCAAGATGATGGGTGGATACCAAATTCTTAGGGGATTATTCAATCACAATCGAGGATAATTTCGGCTATAAAATAAATATCTCATCCCCGAGTGATGTCTATAAGCCCATAAAACAATGGAAAAGCAAATAAATACACGGCCAGACAAAAACAGAACCCGAGGAGGAAATTATCGACGAAATTTACGAGCTGAAAGAAAACTCATGAGCAGGCAATGGTATATTTTGGCCAACTAATGCGTCCATCAGGATTTTTATGGTGTAAACAGAGCTATGAACAATTTGCGCGCATTCCGGACAAAGCCAATAAATCAAATGTATTGGCAAAAGCGAAAGCGGAACGCTCCGAATTGGCCGAAAGTTTCTGCCGAGCCAAGCTTCTTTCTGACCAAAATAAAACGGGAGCGAAAGTAGAGGTTTAAGGATTCTGTATTCTCTATTCTATATTCTGGTGTCGGGATTCACGATTCAGGATAATAAAAATCAATTTACGCACTTTGGCTGTGAGCGACGTGGCGTTGCTGTTGTTGGTTTTATTGCCGCTTCGTCTGCCAAAGTTGTTTTTGTCCCCTTTGGCTTTGTCTTCCTCTTCACGGCAGGACCTAATCGGGGCTAATGGGTATGACACCGGAGGGGGGTACGAGGCGGAACGAGGAGGTGTTGGCCTGGCCGTGACAGCGGTTGCCCTCTCTGTCAATAAGTGGCTGGAAGTCAGCTTATCCGCAGCTTCGAGTGGTGATTTTTTTTTCACAGGATTTATTTCTGGCAACCAGGATATTAATTGTTGCTGTTTGGGGGCAGCTTATTGTCAAAAAAGTCTTTAGGATTAAGATCATATATTAGGCATAATGTTTAGATAATAAAATAAATGTTTTTGTGTTACTGTTCCCTGAAATATTTTTTTTCTAGCAAAAGTAATATTTATTTACAAAAATAATGCATCCAAAAACCCCTAGGCATTTTAATAATTTAAATAAAAAATGTCAACAATTTGCAAAGCCAAAATCGCACATGAATTTAAATGAAAATCCTCCAAACAATAAATCGTGGAAAATGCGGCACCAGCTGGAAAATGGCAGTGTGGGAAATTAGCAAACGCCAAACAAAGAAAATTCAGGAGAGCTGCTTGGTGTGATTCCCTCTCGCTTTTCCCGCATTGCATTGTTGGCTGGAAAATCCCCCAGAATTCTTAGGAAAGCACAAGCTCGCTCCTTTGTTGGCCCTAATTGTGCCGCTTTTCGCAGCTACTCCATTTTGCAGACTCTTTTGACTTTTACATGGCTCGGAATGGGAAAAAAGGACGAATTCCTCCCTTTTATTTATGCATTTCTCTTGCTAATGTCCTGCGGGCGTGTTGCTGAAAAGTCAACACGACGTTCACTTAGACACGACTCCATGTGAATGCGACGGAGGAAAACCCTGTGACATCTTGAGTTGTCACTTTTAATCCTGCAGTTTCTTCCCCCTTGCTAGCAGCTAACCTCTCGACTCCAGACAAAGTGTGAACCATATATGTAGAGGCAGGAATCGTTTTTAATAAACACACATCACAAATTCCAAAAATCAAACTGAATGAGAAACAAGAGGTACAGGAAACTGGTAATAGTCATGCGGAAACCCATCTCGTAGTTTACAAAAAACAGGCCACAGTGACTGAATCTCAGCCTCTGATGGCTGCAAAAGGAGGAAAAGTCAGAAATCTGTAAAGAAATCCATGAATGTAACTATTTAAGAACTTAACTATTTAACCCTTACACTTCGCTCCACCTTTTCATCCAGGTTCCCAATGTCATTGAACAGCTTCAGGATGGTTGAGGTCTGCCTTCCGGTTCTCTCAGCCAAATCACAAACTGCAATGCTAAGGCTGAAGTCGAAAATATTGACAATCAGGGCCTGGGGGATTATAGTCAGTAGCTTCACATCAATCTCCTTCCTCAGACTGATGACGTATATGATTAAAAAGTATATGGACATGATGTTGGCGGAGAGGAAGTTCACCATGACCATAATCATTTGGTAGTCGTAGATTTTGACGAGTCGGCCATTAATATCCAGGAGGCGATTGTAGAGGTTAAGCAGATAGTCCACCCTGGAGGCTTCCACAGTATTTCCCACTGCCAGTTGATTGACCAGCCTCAGGAGCTCTCTGTTGATAATCCACACATATCGGTAGACATACACGACGGCGAAGTGAAAGTGGGTGACTCCCAGGAGGACTCCCAGCAGCATCAGGCATAAGCTGGTCACGCCTAAGAAGAGCTGCCTGTTGTAGTTTGGGGACATGCCGAGCTCCAGGAGCACCATCGATGCAAACTCTAAAACTACTGAGAGTCCTTTGTATAGGACGAACTTGTCGAAGCTGCAGCACTCCTCCAAGTCATAATGACGGAAGTGGCTGTGGTTAAGGTCCATCAGTTCATTCAGAATCCTTTCGATTTCGCCACTTTTCCAGTAGGCCCGCAACAGCATGAAGGATACCATCAAAAGGCTCAGAATGTCGTGGATTCCGTTGATCTGCTGGGCCAAAGGATTCCGATGGAACACCTCCATTCTCTCCTGGCTCTCGGCCTCGGTGTCATTGCAAATGACCAGGGCCACGAGTCCTGCATTCAGAAAGAGTCCATAGACCATTAGCCATCTGGAACGGTGCAATTTCCGAGTCCAACTGTCGAAGGTGAAGGGAAATATTCCCAGGAGCCAGGAGCCGACCAAGGCAGCCTTCAGGGTGAGGCTGACCAACTTCTGGCGGAAACCACTTCCGCTGGGGCGGAACCTTCCGGCCCGGAGACTCTGACACAAATGTACGGAGCTGCCACCACAGCCTAAGAACGAGTGCCAGCTGCGATAAGGACTGTTGAATATCCTAATTGGGTTTGGGGCTCTCTTCGAAGGTATTAATTGTACTAGCCAACAAAGCATAAAATATAATACTTCTTACTCCATAAAGTGTACTCCTGTACTCTCCATACTCCATAATACTATACTTTTTTCTTTTTTTGAAATATAACCTTTTATAAATCAAACTTATATCCAGAACCCTGTTGTTTAGTGTAAAAATAAGTTAGTAGTACAAATGAGTTCTTTGGGTTCATAATGCCAGCAACATTTGCTGCGATTAAATCGTTTAATTAATGAAATGGGCGTTGACGGGATGGGAGTTAAAGTCCAGTTCAAGTTTGCCATTGGCCTGCCATTGGGTCACTTCTGATGGCCCAGTCGTAAAAAATAATTGCCGAGCCAGGGAAAAACATCCTTCAGAACAGCCTGTCAATGCAATTGAAAGCGACTTCTGTGAAAAGCATCGAGTGAGATAATACCCCAGGCATATTCCTCTTCAAATCTGGAGAGCTCTCCGCCAGCTTTTCCAACGACGACGGGAATTTCCTCGAGAGGCTTTCCTCCCGCCTCCCGGGTGGCAAACGAATTCTGCAAACTTGAGCAAATGAAATTTCATTCAATTAGTGTGTCCGATGACAGGTTTGATGCCTCAATGAGTCCAGAAAAGTGCCGGAATGTGGGAGTATAATTGCTGTTATTCAGTCAGGCAGTGTGAGCCCAGAACTCAAATCGATTTGGGACCTTTGATTAATTAGGCCTAATTGGTGCTTGAGACGGGAGTTATTCGACCACACCAAATATATTTTCTATAAATGGTATGGGGCATCTTTTGTGAAGTCTCTATATTTGGGGTTTTATTTTTGGCTCTGCCGAAAAGCCGAGACAAACTTTTGAATGGCTTCAACTGGTTTTCCCGATGCGCCTGCAGTTTCTGACACTGTTGCCAAGTTAACACTTTTCCCTGGTTTTCCCCGTTTGGCAGTTATGATTGCTGCAAACTTTTAGCAGGTGTCACCTGCAAATACCCTTCTCGACTGCAACTTTCTTCTTAACCGTTTTTTCCATGTTGGCTTGTTTTTGCCCCTTTTAAAGTTTCAAGCCAGGTTGTCATTGTTGACTTCTTTTAAGCTGCTTATCGTGGGTAGTCCCTTGTCCTTTCGTTTACTCAAGCTGAGAACGAATTAATTCCGTGTTGTCCGAACGGGTTTCAATTAAATTCGAAAGCAGTTTCTGCTCCCCCTGACTTGTGTATTTTAGCAAATTCATTCCATTATCAAACCGCAGGCTCATAACAATTGAGACCAGCTGAGCCGCATCCTCGGGGTGTCCTTTGTCTCTGCTTTGGGGACACTTTCTCCACAATCCGCAATTGGAATTAGAAGGAAAAGCAGTCGACACAATTATAGTTTGAATTTTTAATTGCTGGCCACAACAAACGGACTGAGAGTAAACAGGATGCCGAGTGCATCAAGGGGAGGATCCTTTCAGGTGAGAGGACCTCCTGCGGCTCATCCAATTTGCATAGCTAAGTGATGGAGGGAGACAGAGCCCTTGAAGTCCTTTTATTTTGCTTATGTGTGGGAGACAGTGGCTTTAATCAGTCCCCATTACAACTTGATTAAATACGAAATGGTCTTTACTGCGGTTTAAAGTCGTTAGCAGGCAAGAGGAGATTTGGGAAACCTCAGAACGTTTCAGCATAGGTAAAGATACAAGGACATATTTGTGGCCTACCCCCCTTCCCAACGTAAACGCAGATAAAACGCGGCACTGAGTCTTCAAAGGCTCAATTTTCAGCAGCCAGGGGTATGTCTAAATGTTCCTCATTTCCATTCACACTTTTTTTATCTCCTGGAAACGTGCGTGATTTTACTTTAGAAAGGACGCGACAGTATAGTCCTTGAGGACAAAAACCGAGCCAAGAAGAAGGAGAGTTGGCGTATACGCAACCCACGTTGCGTATACGCCACGTAAGCCGGCTTGGAGGCAGTCGCTTGCAATTAGGCCACGCAACTCGCATTTTTAGCCAACTCGTATAATTAGAGGCTCCGGAGGATGACAGGATTTCAAGGGATTCTCCAGGAAAATAAGAAAAGGATGTGAAAGATAAATACCAGAGGCAGAGAAGGGGTGAACCCGAAATGAGTTAATTAGACAAATTAGATTCGAAATTGTCGGAAGAAGGGAATTGGTCGGGCACCAGCTTAACACGATTTCAGCCACTTTCTCACACTTTCCATCCCAAATCTTGGATTTGGTTAAATGTTGGCGAAGCGAATGAAAGCCCATCGTGTCCTCGGAAGGGATTCGTCTTTAAGAAAATTATTTTTAATGCTCCAGAAACAAATAAGAGGGCGAGGAAATGTCGCAATATTACCCTTTTCCTTCGGGTTATTGAAATGTTATCCCTTATTGCTGTCGAGTCTTGTTGGGCCATTATCCTTCCAGTTATGCGCCGCTGTTGCTGTTTTTATTCTTTGGCTCTGATGGGGCAAAGTATAATGTTTCACTTTGAGGGGAAAAGCGACGCCTGTGGGGAAAATCTGCTCGCAAGTCGTGGAAAACAAGTGGAAAGGCTCCCAAAGGACTGCTTCTTGTTAAGAGTTAAGCATGCAAAGCAAGGACCTCCACTCCCAGGACTCTTGTGTATCCTTCTCATAATTTCAAGCAGATCAAATCTCATTTTGGATGCAATCGGTGCACCAGTTTAGCACATCAAAGGAGTACAAACAGTCACGGCCACGCCCCCTCTTTGAAAACGCCCATCCTGGCAAATGAAGAGCAAAAACGGCGGAAAAGTGCGAAAATATTTGCACTACAAAGTAGCAAAAAGTGAAAACAAACCGAAGAGTGGAAATATTTTTCAGTTCCAAATGTTGATTCTGGGATAAGAAAGGCGAGAGGTGGGGAATGGTGTGGCAGCCCTGTCGGAAAAAGTGTTGAAAAGCTGCGGAAAAAACGGAGGATAAATATTTACGAAATGTTTTCGCAGATTCTGCAAATCAAATCAAACTGCTGACAGAAATGCCGTGATTTATGATTCGGGAGGAGAGAAGCTTTGGGAGCTGCGGCTTGTCAAAGGACTGTGGGGAATCCCCGCACTTGTTTACCTTTTTCTGCAGGACGTGAAGAGGCCAATCCTGGTGCAGACAATGCAATTTTCTGCCATATTTATGTCCTTCGATAAACTCTTGTAAGGTTGTGCGGAAAGTGCTAGGAAAACTCTCGGAAAGTGGCTCACAAAGGAGCCAGCCTGCAAGATGGCCAGCAGGGGGAAATTAGCTTTCTGCAGGGAAATAAATTGCAAATTTCAAGACGGAAATTGAAAATTTATTGGCAGCGCAGAAAGTAGTTATGGTCCTGCTGACTTTCTCCCATTTCTAGAGTTCCCTTTGAGAGTGATCCTGGCAGAGAGAGAAATGAGCGAGTGCGGCGTTTAGGGCGATTGATGATCCTGGCTGTAAGGATACAAAGTGACAACATTTTGCATCGCAATCGGAGCAGGAAACTTTGCTGCAGCCGTATCCCATTTTTCCGTGTCCTCCGAGGGACATTAAAAATTAGTTTTTCTGTTTACTTGGGGCTGAAATTTCGCAATATTTTCATTCCTTCCATCGCCATTTTTCATGCTTCCTGCAAGCGCCACAAAGTATGCAACACATGCAGCTGAGAGTTGAAAGAAGCTAAAAGTTGGCCAAAGTTTTCTTTGACCTCCCTCCTCCCCACCTTGATTTTCCTTTTTTCATAACAAGTTACTCTTAGCAGCCTCCCCTCTGCCCCTGTGAGTGCATTTCCCGCCTTTCATCATTATTTGTTAGCTCGCCCATCCCTCCGAGGAGTTTCCCAGACAGATGATGGTCTACGCAAAGTGTCTCAATTGGGGTCTGTGTATCCATTAGATACTCGTGTATCCCCCAGATGCGCTGAGTATTTTGCAGATAATAAAATTGGCGAACGGCGCACAATTTATTCGTTGTGAAAACTCGTAAATTTTAAATGAGCCCGTGATAAAAATCAGCCATGAAAACGCAGCGACAAAATAGAAAATATCCGTGCAGGAGAGCTCCTCCCTCCTGTTGTTTACGGAAAGTTTACGATTCCCGATCCGCGGGGCAAAGTTCAGAGGGGGCATTATAAGGATTATAAATATTTATGGGGTCCACGTATGGATAATTCAACGATTGCTGAATTCGCGCTGATGGCTCTGAATGGATGTATTGATCCTTCGGATGTAAAACTACGCTTTCTAATCCGAATCAATGTTTTTCCAATCACCACAATCCCTGGAGCTTTTTCCAGCAAACTTTTCTCAATTTCCGGGGCAATAAATTTTCCTGAAATTAATTCCAGCTTTAGTAGAATTTCCAAAGATAAACAAAATCCAAAGATAAACAAAAATTGCTCTCCCTTCGACACAGTTCGACATTAATTTAAACACAATTAAGAGGCGACAGGAGCAAGAGCTAGAGGGAGACAAAAGCTTTAAAAGAAAGAGACGGGGAGGGGATGGTAGACAGAGACAGAGTGAGCTGGAGCATAAAATCAACTTCGAGGAGAGACTCTCCCAAAAGGATAAATAAATTAAAAGAAAATAAAATAATAGCGAGATGGCTGGAAAGGAGGCGTGGAAATCGATGCGAAGGTCATTCCGGGTCAGCGATAAAAATTCCACCAAAGTTCCTGGGAAAGGAGGAGAAATTCTGAATTAATTGCGGAGAAATTTAATTTTATGACGATAACGGCGAATTTCGCTGTTCTCCAGCGAGACTCTTAAAGAGAAATAAAACCCAGCGCCAAATGGGAGGGCCATGAAACTGAAAATGAATTGCTGATGATTTTTATTGAACATGGAATTAAAAGCGATGAAAATGTGATGGAAAATGTGCTGGCAAGCCCCGCCGAAATTTGTTTTTCCGCCTCTGGTGTAAACCTGCAACAAAGGAGCAGTTACCCTTGTGAACCCTTCTCCCGCCACCCATGCATAGCCATAAAAATTAACAACGAAAGCGCTCCCATGTATAACTGCCTCGTGAATCATTCCGGGGAGGTGGTAGTCCAGGGGCGGAATATTTGGCTCAGATTTCTGTCCTCTTTGCATTGTTTCAGGGGCTGTGGGGATAGCAGTGGAG